AGGGGAGCTCGCAGTTCCTCAGAAACAATACCCTTACTTTGCTCACAACCTTGCTCACCCCCTCAAGAAAAAGCTGAAATTAAAGTGCAATTAAGTACTGTATCTATTCATCATGGAATTAAAGGCTAGAAACATCTTGACCTCTAATTCCATGTAAAAATCCACAATGATGCCTGACTACTTGTTAGTACCAACAACGGCATCAAAATCTGCAAAACTTCCTTTCTTATTACTCTCAACACTCTGAAGAATATTCTTTAAACTTTGAAATCTAGAGCATGTTTCAGAAGGCGGAAAAAAGATGCTTTACCAGTCTCCCATATACTTGTACATACAACTGAACAATTGTATGTACAAGTATATGGAAGACTGAATATTTGTTTACATCTATTCTAAAATATAAACATGTATATTTTAGAATAGGTGTAAACGCAAAAATTCATACAATACCAGCGCCTGATGCAACTTTGTGAAACATATATAAACACTAGGGTTGGGTCCAGTAAGAGTCGGAGAAATCAGATACAAAAGGATGAAGAAAAAATAGATTACGAATTACATACAATAATGAACAACAATATATAGTAATTATCTGAATAACAAATACAGAATGAGCACTAAGGTACGTTTTCTTTCCACTCGCTCTGAATGTAAACAACGCAAAAAAAGGCATTTTTCCTGAATATCTGCAGTTTTTTTTCTAATGAAAACCAAAGAGACTGATTATATAAAATTACCTGTTGCATCAACATCAAGCAAGAAAACTACCAAATAGCACACAAGCTTCATATATCAAAATTCCTTTTCAAGTCTACATACAGCTGATGGTTTACTGTACCTTGGTTAATTTGCGGTTCAGGCACCGTATCCGGATCTTGAAAAAACAGTGAAATATTTATAAGCATTTTTAAAGCAAGGTAGATAATATAAAATCTCGATGTCACTCCTTATCGAGAAAAGTGTTATATCTCCGTAAATGCATAAGATAAAGAGGACATTCACTGAACCACTGTATCCTTCTAACACGTAAGAAAGTATATAGAATGGGATGAATGAGAAGGAATATCTTCACACTACAAGAGATGTACCTGACCGGTTGTGAAGATATTCATTCACTTTCATGCCTTCTCTACAGTCGCCACCATGAATACGGTTCACGTACGCAATCACACACAAAAACAGACCTATGCCAATACACAAGGAAATGCACCAAACGTAATTGAAGAGCATTAAAACATTTTTTTCTTAAATTATATGCCTTGATATCGACATGCACAAAGCATAAGTTAAAAGCGGCACCATCAACCACCTACATTCATGGCGTAATCGAAACATGATATATCAATGGAAAAAAAGTCAACACAAATCCCTCTTTGCGAAATATATCCTTTAAGGCAATCTTTAAGGCAATTCCGCAATGCCATATCGCCTCTCTAGGTATATACTGCAAAACGCATTCTCGCTTCAGCACTGCAAAAAATGCCAGTGACAAATCACATACTCTGCATAAACCATAATTTTCAGCTGGCGAAAGAAAGACGATTATGACAGGTACTTGAAAGTCATACAAAAATAAAAACTAAAGTATCCGGTTGGGTGTCTTCGTTCCATAACAGACTCCCCTTTCTCCACGCCACATTATTGCCCTGATCTCCAACGAGCGGTCAACTGGCTGTTCTCCAATCACTTCAAACGACCGAGAGAGCGCCGTTAGAGCACAACTGGTCCTACTTGAAAGAGCAATACCCAACCACACACACACACGCATACAGACTAACAGACACAGACAGACACAGACTGACAGAGACAGACACACACACAGACTGACAGAGACAGACAGACACACACAGACTGACAGAGACAGACAGACACACACATAAACTGACAGAGACACACACACACACACACACACACACACACACACACACACACACACACTCTCTCTCTCTCTCTCTCTCTCTCTCTCTCTCTCTCTCTCTCTCTCTCTCTCTCTCTCTCTCTCTCTCTCTCTCTCTCTCTCTCTCTCTCTCTCTCTCACTCACTCACTCACTCACTCACTCACTCACTCACTCACTCACTCACTCACTCACTCACTCACTCAACTCACTCACTCACTCACTCACTCACTCACTCACACTCACTCACTCACACTCACTCACTCACTCACTCCCTCCCCCCCTCTCTCTCTCTCTCTCAGCTTGCTCACCGTAACCACGTTGCGTCTAATACAACAAGCTCGTATTTCATTTGCTGGGGTCAATCTGGCGAATCGCGCGGTGCGTCTTGACCTTCACCGAAGCGAAACCAGGACCTTGGGCGAAACAAGGTCGAGGTATATCTACTCGGGTTCATGTCGGATACAGCCCCTCGGAGGCAACTGGGTTCTTGCACGGCTTAGGGTGTAGCAACACTGCATTATTATTATCATTATTATTATTATTATCATTAATATCATTATTATTATTATTATCATTAAATATCATTATTATTATTATTACCATTAATATCATTATTATTATATTATCATTATCATTATTTTTTATTATTATTTTTGTGTGTAGACAGATTATCATATAGATATACTGATAGATACATAGAGAGAGCTAGATAGACATATAGACAGTTGATAGCAAGCTAGGAAATAAAAGTACACAGACATACATTCACACACACACACACACACACACACACACACACACACACACACACACACACACACACACGCACACACGCACACACGTGTCCCTCTCACTCGAAAAAGAAGAGAAAAGAAAAGAAAAGAAAAAAGAAGAAGAAGAAGAAGAAGAAATTAAAAAAAAAAACAGCGCCCCCATCACCCCTCGATTCTGCGCGCCCACGCCCTCGCCTCCAAGCTCTATCGCCGAGGGAGGGTGACGGCGCCCGCGATTCACCAGGGGGAGGGGGGGGGTATGGTCTTCCGCCGTGGAGTTCGAGAATGAATGAAGGAATGATTGAAGGAATGAAGGAAGGAAGGAAGGAAATAAAGAAGGGAGGGTGGGTGAGAGGTAGGTAGGGAGGGAGGTAAGGAAAAGAAAGATGGAAGGATGGAAGAAAGTGAAGCAAAAAAGAAAGCAAAGAAAACGATAAAAAAAATGAACGAGAGAGAGAGAGAGAGAGAGTGGGAGGGGGAGAAAGATAGAGACAAAGGAGATAGACATGAAGACAAAGGAGCGAGAAAGGGGGACCAAAAAGCAGAAAGATGAGAGGAGAGAGAGAGAGAGAGAGAGAGAGAGAGAGAGAGAGAGAGAGAGAGAGAGAGAGAGAGAGAGAGAGAGAGAGAGAGAGAGAGAGAGAGAGAGAGAGAGAGAGAGAAAGAAGAGAGAGAGAGAGGAAAAAGATAGAGAAAAAGAGAGAAAGCACGAAAAAAAGAGCCGGAGAGAAAGACTTAGAAAGCTAAAACAGGAGACAAAAAGGAATGATAATAGAAAACCAACGAAGGGGGAAAAAAAGAAAAATGGAAGAAGCAGAAGCAAGCAAGACTCGCATAAACCAGAAAGCAGAGAAAACCGGACGCTATCGAATCACCGATAAACTTATTGACATTATCTGATTAAACACGACAGGTGAGGTTAACAGTGCTGATAATCATGTGACATGTCACGGCCTTAAGAAGTGGGGGAAAGTTTGGTCGGTCGACTGCCTTTGTGTAGGCTTATAGATGTAGAGAGGCCGATTATGGAAGAGAGAGAGAGAGAAGAGAGAGAGAGAGAGAGAGAGAGAGAGAGAGAGAGAGAGAGAGAGAGAGAGAGAGAGAGAGAGAGAGAGAGAGAGAGAGAGAGAGAGGAGAGAGAGAGAGAGAGAGAGAGAGAGAGAGAGAGAGAGAGAGAGAGAGAGAGAGAGAGAGAGAGAGAGAGAGAGAGAGAGAGAGAGAGGGAGAGAGAGAGAGAGAGAGAAGAGAGAGAGAGAGAGAGAGAAGAGAGAGAGAGAGAGAGAGAGAGAGAGAGAGAGAGAGAGAGAGAGAGAGAGAGAGAGAGAGAGGAGAGAGAGAGGGAGAGGGAGAGGGAGAGAGAGAGAGAGAGAGAGAGAGAGAGAGGAGGGAGAGGGAGAGGGAGAGGGAGAGGGAGAGGGAGAGAGAGGGAGAGGGAGAGAGAGAGAGAGAGAGAGAGAGAGAGAGAGAGAGAGAGAGAGAGAGAGAGAGAGAGAGAGAGAGAGAGAGAGAGAGAGAGAGAGAAAATTGCTGTACATGCTTTCCTTAAATTCGTATTTTTGCGTTATCTGGCCTTTTTTGTATCCGTTCATCTACCATAGTAAATTTAAATAATTCCTTAATTTTTCACGTTTTATTTCGGGATCTTATACCCTTATACCAATAAATAATTTGAATCTGCCCCCATCCCCATAAATGTTATCTTATTAGGCAATCGGTTTATCTGAAGTCTAGAATACTTTTTTAAATCCATCTATCTTAGTTCTTTCCAATTCGATAACCTTGCGCAATTACTCAACTTCTAGCAAAAAAAAATCACGTGGACTTTTCTCAACAGCAATAACAGTATCCAAGAACAGTTTTCAAAAAATCGACAATAATTGCTGTACACGCTTTCCTTGTGTGTGTGTGTGTGTGTGTGTGTGTGTGTGTGTGTGTGTGTGTGTGTGTGTGTGTGTGTGGTGTGTGTGTGTGTGTGTGTGTTTTGTGTTGTTTTGCTTATCTTTTTGTATCTGTTTATCTACCATAGTAAATTCAAATAGTTCTTTTATTTTTCACGTTTTATTTCCGGATCTTATACCCTTTTACCAATAAATCATTTGAATGTGCCCCCCCCCCCGTAATCTGTTATCTCATTAGACATTCGGTTTATCTCAAGTCTAGAATACCTTTTAATCCATCCATCTTAGCTCTTTCTCAATTACTCAAAATCTAACCAAAAAAAACACATGCACTTTTCTAAACAGCAATAACAAGTATCCCAAGGTCAGTTTCACGGATCGACAACAGTTACCAAGCATCACACACGGACAGGTCCTCCAGTCCCGTTTACACATTGTTATCGAGAACTTCTCCCTCTTCCAGTCTCCTCGTCGGGATTCCTGTGTACAGACCCCCGCACCAGAGAGGTCATGACCCACACTTCGGCCTCGTGTAATACCTGCGCTCCTAGACGTCGTCGAGCAGGTGGGCTGGCACCTGTCGACACCCGCCGAGTGTGGGAACAAAGTTTATGTATATTTATATGTGTGAAGACCTTTGTTTTTTCTCTGGAGGTCGAAGGCTAACCATCCGATCGCCACTGCTTCCTTGGCACTTCAAGTTCTCTGGGTCGCTTTGTATCCCCGTGGGCTTCTGTACCATGCTGACCTTCCTGTAGACTTCAAGCCTTCCTACGATGAATTCAAACCTCTGCGGTTCCTGGAGTGTCACTGCACCGTATTCCACAAACTACGTCTCCTATGCTGTCTCTTCCTTTCGTTCTACCATGGTATAGCCATGTTCGTCTCTCCTAAGGATGCTGATCTTAACAAGTGATGCTCTGTAGTCACTGAGAGAAGCCACATGCCCTTTGCAAAATCGTCTCACCCACTGATCTTGTACACTTTTCCTCACGTTTCGGATATAGGGAAAACCATTTCATGCACTGTGCAGTCTTCATTCGTCTCTTTGTGCGGGAATTTGTTTTTCCTTTTTTTACGTTTTACATTTTACACATATCAAGCCTTCCTCATCAAGCCCCTCTTGCACTGACGCAATATTATTCTTCGTTGTAGATTACTTTGAATGTGGACTTTTAGTTTTCGTTCAGCCCACTTCTGTTTTCATTCCTGAATTCAGCTGAGAGAGAGAGAGAGAGAGAGAGAGAGAGAGAGAGAGAGAGAGAGAGAGAGAGAGAGAGAGAGAGAGGGGAGGAGAGAGGAGAGAGAGAGTGAGGGGGGAGAGAGAGGAGGGGGAGGACGGGAGAGAGGAGGGAGAGGAGAGAGAGAGGAGGAGGAGAGAGAGTGGAGGGAGGAGAGAAGAGTGGAGGGAAGAGAGAGAGAGAGTGGGAGGAGGAGAGAGAGAGGGAGGAGGAAGAGGAGTGGGAGGGAGGAGAGAGAGAGTGGAGGGAGGAGAGAGAGTGGGAGAGGAGAGAGAGAGTGGGAGGAGGAGAGAGTGGAGGAGGAGGAGGAGAGAGAAGAGAGAGAGAGAAGAGAGAGAGAGAGGAGAGAGAGAGAGAAGAGAGAGAGAGAGAGAGAGAGAGAGAGAGAGAGAGAGAAAAGCTTGCGTGCATGATCTCCCAAATGAATCATGTTTGATGACAGAATTATCTGTTTAGTCAAACCATGTATACAGATAATAATTCTGAGCAAACACCGCATGACCTAATGTTTATTTGTTATATTAATGCCAGAAAATGAACTATAACTTTATCCGTTGTTGTTGTTACCTATCGGTCTATGGCGTAAAATTCGAGTGAATCATTTTTCCACTGTGTATGGGTTGTATTTCTTATTTCTTTTCACTTGGTATTATTAAACGAGAGAATATACCCCCCTAAAAAATAAATAAATAAATAAATGAATAAATAAATAAAATAGCAATAATAGTAATACATCTTAATAATGACAAATAAAATAAATAAAATAGCAATAATAGTAATACATCTACAATAATGACAAATAAAAGCCTATTTTTAAAAATTCCTGGAACGGCCTATCTGCATCTGATAGCTCACACACGCGTACCTTTATACTGACCATCGGTGCTGAACTCACCTATACTTTTCAATAAAAAAAAATACATCAACGCATCACAATCCGTCACACTTGCCTAAAATGTTCACATCGTACTTTTGTTCGTTTTGCAGTGGCTCGTATCTGGTCGTGATTTTTTACCAATGGGTTATTATTGTATCACTGATTGTGTTCTCTCGCTTGACTGTCAGAAGAGTCATGTTGAACAGGCCCACGGTATGACATTAATTCTAATAGCTGTATAAATAACAAAGTGGTGGTGATAAACAAAAATCAAATATTTACTCCCAGAATTATAATATATAATATATATATATATATATATATATATATATATATATATATATATATATATATATATTACGACAACTCGTAACGAAATCATACTTCCGGGAGACTTGCATAAATCCCATCTATTAAAAAAAAAATAGCAAGAAAGGAAATAGCACACACCAATCATAATAATACTCAGACGCAGTAAAATCATTAAGACTCACTCACGTCAGTCCAAAATTAACCCCCCCCCAAAAAAAAAAAAAAAAAAAAAAACAATAATAAAATAAACATACCTTTGTTTACCACTTCCGTAAACACTTCGGACACCGTTTGTATTTCTCCTCCTCCTCCTCCTTCGTCCCCCTCCTCCGCCTTTCCGTCTCTCATGCCTGCTTATTCCAAAGACACCGACACGTAAACGATAAATATTCCAGACAAATATCTTCAAACGATAAATATTCCAGCCAAATATCTTCCGATCTGAGAAGCTGGCTGACCCCCGCGCCGCCGCGTCCCAGGAACGACTGCTGATTGACCACAGGCACTGACGCTGGTGATGATTGCCCTCCGAGAGCGGTTTCGTAAGGTTCAAGGCGCCCTATCTCTCGGCTGATGATACTCGAGAGATTACAAATATCGTCACGATGTTGAAGATAATGATAATCGTTATGTTGGTGATAATAAGGTGGGGCGCGCGGCAACGAATCACGACGACGAATATAACAAAAATACAAAACAACAACAGTAACAACAAACCACCGCAACCACCACCACCAACAACAACAATTATAATAATAATAATAATAATAATAATAATAATAATAACGATAACAACAATAACAACAATAATAACAACAACAACATATGCGTCGCCCTCCACTTCTCCCAACCCGACTGCACTCTTTTCCACATTCACTCCGCCACTCCGCCAAAATCACTTGGGCTGCACTCCGGCTCTCCCGCTTCTGGCCAGCCCAAAGGTCGGCCAAGCACTGATGCACTTTCCCTGGATCAATGTTTCTCTAACTTCAGCCCAAACACGAACCTTTTCAGACCTCTCCACCATCGACCCCCTTGGAAATCTTCATAGTATTTCTGTATGGAGTTTCGAAGCGTTGGGTATGCTTTGTAATATAAACAAGTCATGCCAAGTAAAAAGAAATGTTATGGGTAAACCTGTTGGGAATTTTGGCTTGGTGTATGCCTCTTAGGTTGGATATTCAGTAGCAGTATACAAAATATCAATATAATCAATAAAAAAAAAAAAATGATGGCACGAACTAATTCACCCATGAGAATTTTGTAACTGACACCAATAAATGTGATCGGTATACATTTCCGTCTTCTGCCATCAAATAAAAAATCTAGAACACACACAATTTAACATTTGTTACGTATCCTGATATCACTGAAACTGTTCTGTCGCGGGTGTGTGGTTATAAAATTATAACATTAGTAATAACATAATTAACGATGGCAAATCATAACCGTCACAACAGCAACCACAAAGATCAATAGAATGAGAATTACAACATTAGTAATAACATAATTAACGATGGCAAATCATAACCGTCACAACAGCAACCACAATGATTAATAGAATGAGAATGAGAATACTACTAATAATCATTAAGGTGATAATACTGATTCTGATCCTAATAATACCGCTCACAACAACGGCAATGATAGAAAATAACAACAATCAAAATGATAAGCAAAAATAACAATGACAACAACGACAATAATAATCATTCCGACGCTCTTAACGACCACAGTGCCAACGGCTATCAACCACCTACATACTTTTTGCCACTATGCTGCCACGCGCATAAAAACGACATCACGATTAGGTTCTCCTGTCTCATGCTTCGAGTGCATGCTATTACGAAAGCTTCAGATTATGTTGGAAGAGAAAATGTGGCTGCAATGTTGACAACAATATGACGATTTGAAAGGTGCTAAGATTGGATTTAATTGATGGTAAGGTGGTGATGTGATGATGATGATGATGATGATGATGATGATGATGATCGTGGTGGTGGTGATGATGATGATGATAATGGTGATGGTGGTGGTGATGTTAATAATGATGGTGGAGATAATGATAATAATATAATGCATATAATGGTGATAATGCATTAGCATTTGTTTACGTGATGATGGTGTATGTTGCTGAAGTGTGATGTTAGGAGTATATGGTGAATTATATAATATAATCACAGTGTCGGTGGTGATGCGGTAATGGTGGGATGTTTGGTGGTGGAATGTGTGGTTGGTGAGTAGTGTGTTGGAGGTGTATTTGAAGGTTGTTTGTGCGGAGTGTGGTGGTGTAGGTGTAGTGTGTGTGATTTGAGATGGTGGTTGGTGTAGTGTGTGTGAGTGTAGTGGTGTGTTGGAGTTATTGTGTGTGATGTGTATGGTGGTAGTGTATTGTGGTGGTGGAGTGTAGTGTGTAGTTTAGTGTGGCCAGTGTGTGTGGAGTGTGTTGTGTGGATGGCTGATGTGTAATGATGCTGAAGTGTTGTTATGTTAAGAATAATGGTGAACTATAATATAATATATATCACAGTGGTTTGATGCAATTAAATAGTCGTGGTCGTAGTGATGTTTGTTAGTGTGTGTGGTGGATGATGTTGTGTGGTGGGTGATATGGTCGGTGTAGTGTGGTGGTGTATGGTTTGGTATGTGGTATGGATGGGTGGGGGAATGGTTGGTGGTGTTTCTGTTCAGTGTGATGTATTTGTGTGTGTATTTTAGTGTGTGGTTGTGATGTTAAGATCATACTATTAATAACAGATGGAGTGGCTTTCGGTAGCTTTGATTAATATTAATAATTATAATATAATCACAGTGTCGCGTTGCATCCGCGTAATGTTGGAGGTGCTGGGGTGTGGTGAAGTGTTGTGTGTAAGTATTGTGTTTGGGAGTGTGCGTCGTTGTTGATGTTATAGTTTCTGGTGTGGAGGTCGTGTTGTGGTTATGGTGTGTAGGTTATGTGGTTTTTGTGTGTGGTGTAGAGGTTAAGTGGTGTAGTGTTTGTGACGGTGATGTGGTGGTGGAGTTAGTCGTGTGTACTGTAGTGTGGTGTGGAGGTGTAGTGTTGTGGTGAGTTTAGTGTTAGGTATGGTGTGCGTGTGCTAAGGTTGTAGTGTGGTGCGATGATGATGTGTAATGATGCTACGGAATGGTGTTGATGTTAAGAGATTATAATGGTGAAATAATATAATGAAATCACAGTGTGAATCCGTAATATTTGGTGTAGTGATGGTTGTTGCGTGGATGGTGTGTGTGGTGGAGTGGTTTGTGTGTAGTGTCTGTGTTGAAAGTTTGGTTTTGTGTGTTGTAGTCGTGTGTGTAATGTAGTGGGATGGAGTTCCTTGTTTTAGTTGGATGAGTTGTGTTGTAGTGGTTGATGATTGTGCTGTGGTTGTAGTGTGTTGATTGGTGTGGTGATGTGTGGTGGTTGTGGGAGGTTGGAGTGATGTGTTGTGTGGTGGTTGAGTATTGTGTCGTGGTATGGTTGTGATGTGTGTGTACATTATGGTGTATTTGTGGGTATATATCTGGATCTCTATTGTAATCATCTCTCTCTAAACTGTCTTCTCATGGTCGTGTGGTGGTGATTTGTATGGTGCGGTGTGATCTTCCCCTTGTTGTGTCGTGGTGTTGATTGTGGTATGTTATGTTTGTTGTGTGTCTGTGTGTCCGGCTCTGCGTGTGTGCTGTGGTTCGATTGTGTGTATGTGAGTGTGGAGTTGGTTGTGTGTGGTGTGGGTGGTGAAGTGTTGTGGTTGCTGTTGTATGGTGATGGCTGTGTGAGTTGTTGTTGTGTTGTTATTTGATGTGGTGTAGTATGTGTTGGTGTGGTATGGTGTGTGTGATTGCTTTATTGAGCTTTGTGTGGTGATTGGTTGTTTTGGCATGAGTTGTGATGGTTGTCATGTGTGGTGTTGTGGTATGTGGTGTTCCTGTATATGTGATGATGTGTGTTGTTGTGTTCCTCTCTTAGTCTATTGGTTCTTTATGGTGGTGCGTCATACCTCCGCTTTATCCATCTTACCTCATTCACCGCTAACGTCTGTGATGTATGTTATTCTATGCGTATTATGTATTTGGTGGTGTGTGTATATTATGGTAGTCTATGGTATGTTGGTGTATTGAGTGTGTTATGTGATTGTGTGTCTGTGGCTGCTCGCTTCTACATCTCGCCTGTTGGTCTCGACTTTGGGGGATGGTGTGTATGGTGGGAGTTAAATGGTGAGCTTCGTGTGACTGATGGTGTAGTGTATGTATATATGTGGTGGTTGTATGGTTGTGATGTGGTACTGACGTAGTATTGGTCTTTGTGTGGTGTCTATGTCGGTCTGTTGATGGTGTGATGGCCTTTTCTGTTTGAGGTGGTCATGGTTGTCGTTATGGTGTTTAGTGTGATGTGTGTGTGTACATTAGTTGTTGGTCTATGTTGGGGTATGTAACGGTAACCGTGCGTGTGTGTCGTGTATGTGGTATGGTTAAGTTGTGGTGGTTGATAGTTAGTTTATGTGTTCTGTTAGGTGGTGCTGGATATGTATGTTGGGAGTGTGTGTGGTGCTGGAGTGTTTGTGGCTGGTCGTCTGTTGGTCCGGTCGTATGTAGCGTATTGGTGTGGTCATTGGTGATGGGTGGTGGTGTGGTGATGTTGATGGTTGGTGGGGGTGTGCTCTTGTGTTTTATGGTTGAGTGGTGTGTGGATCCTGGCTGTGTGTGGTGGTATGGTGTGGGAGTTGTTTTTTTTGTTATTGTTTATATATCACTATAATCGTAACAACTACTGTCAAACCATATTTATCTATTCCTCTAATGTACGTAATAACGAGTAGGACTTTGACGGTGGTGTGTGTGTATAATGTGATGTATGGTGTTTGGTGGTGCTCATGCTGTGTGTGGTGTTGTGTGTTGTTATGGTGGAGGTGGTGGATTGTGTGTTTGGTTGTTGATGTGTGTTTGTGGTGGTGTATGGTGATTGGTTGTTGTGTGTGTGTTGGTGGTGGGTTATGTGTTAGGTGGTGTGTATGGTTTGTGTGGTGTGTTGTGTGTCGTGTGGTGTTGTGGCTGGGTGGTGTTGTTCGTATGTTGGTGTAGTGTTGGTGGATTGTGTATGTGGTGTTGTATGTGTCGTGTGATTGGTATGTGATGTGTGGTGTGGAGTGGTTTGGTGTGGTGTCGATGTCATGTAGTGGTTGATTGTGGTGGTGCGGTGGTGGTGATGTTAAGAATCATACTATTAATAACGAGGACAGTATTTTTTTCCTTATTGATTTGGTTTATGTTATGATTATGACATCAGACAAACTAAGTGAGCAATCTATATCTAAATAACTAAGTTTCTTTACTTAACTTCATATAGTGACTCACTCACACTCAATCACTCTCTCTCTCTCTCTCTCTCTCTCTCTCTCTCTCTTCTCTCTCTCTCTCTCTCTCCTCTCTCTCTCTCTCTCTCTCTCTCTCTTCTCTCTCTCTCTCTCTCTCTCTCTCTCTCTCTCCCTCTCCCTCCCTCT